AGAGCCCACAAAGCTGTAATGTGTGCAAAGCTAATTGGAGAAAACTGGTTTGGAAAATGAGGGGTAGATGCCCTGGATCAAGGAGGGACTTATCTGGTCAGCTTGCATGTCCAGATACATGGTTTAGTAAACTGGTTGAGTGGGGGATGGTGTCACTGATCTCTCTCCGGGCACAGTGGCAGGAGCTGGTTCTGACAAGGGGATGTCAGAGCAAGGACTTGCTTTTTAGTCATGCAAAATCAGGGGTGGCCAACCTGTAGCTCTGGAGCCACATGCAGTTCTTCAGAAGTTAATATGCAGCTCCTTGCATAGGCATCGACTCCAGGGCTGGAGCTACAGGCGCCAACTTCCCAATGTGCTACAGGATGCTCACTGCTCAACCCCTAGCTCGGCCCCAGCCTTCACTCCACTCCTTCCCCCAAGGCCCCCGCCCCTTCCCCTGAGTCTGTTGTGCCCTTGCTACTCCTCCTTCCCTCTTCCCCCCAGCATCTTGCACACCACAAAACTGCTGATCGAGGTGGGCAGGAGGCACAGGAATGGAGGGCTAGATGCCCATCGGTGGTGCTGCTGGCAGGTGGGAGACACTGGGGGGGAGCTGATGGGGGTCTGCTGATGTATCACTGTGGCTCTTTGGCAATGCACATTGGTAAATTCTAGCTCCTTCTCAGGCTCAGGTCGGCCACCCCTGTGCAAGATCTTTCTTTTCCTCTGTAACTAAGCTCAAAATGCCTATCTAGTTTAGCTGATGAGAAGTGTAAGTCTAGATACATTAAGCAGTTTCTTTTAATTATATTTAGAGCCTTGTGTGGATACAAAATTTGTATTCGCATCCGATCTGTAATCTATAAACATGGTCCATGGATAGCCACATCTGCACACAGATTTGCAGGGTTTTATATATAAAATTTGGATCCGCATCCATTCACGATCTGCAAACATGGTCCATGGATATAAAGTGGATATCCACTGATTTGCAGGGCTCTAATTATCTGGTTTTAATAAATCTTGTGGTTTTGGTATGATTACTGTTGTTTGGATAATTTCACATAGACATCCCCAAAGAGAAAAGAGCCCCATAACTTATAAAAAAGGTGAGGATGGGTAAGGGAATCTCTCTCCGTCAAGGGGTACAGACAGAGGGGTCTGGTTCCAGCAAGTTGTGTTATCAGACTATGACAAGGAAGAAGCCACACACACAAAATAGCAAGGAGACAAGAAATATTGTTGATGCTTATCATGGATACAGGATTAGCTACACCACTTTCCCCTCCCTGGTCTCTCTGATTAGACCCCCTCAAGTGTCAGGCCTCTTGCCTTTTCCTCTCCTGGGTAAATCCATATTTATTCTCCCACTCTTAGACAGAGCCCTGGACTACAGTATCCTGTGTACCAATCATGTTTATCCAGTAGGTTTGACTGAATTTGGAGATCTGTAGTTCTTCCCTTTGGGATTCTGTGATCAGTGGTGTACACAGTAACCAAATAGCCTTCTTAAAGCACAGCACTGTTTGTTTTTAACAGTAGGAAAAATACTTAGAGAAAAAGGATTTTAAAACAATAGTCTATGAGCATGTCTGTCTTATCTAAAGACTTACCATTCACTGATGGTAAGCTAGGCAGGCCTAATTCGTCAGATGTCCCAGTGGGTGCCTGTGTCTGGCTCTTGGTTCTCCAAACAACTCCCTCCCCTCTCCCTCTCTTGAAGCAGAGTCCATTTCTAAACTGCTGTGGTCATTTTGATCTCTGGTGTGCATGAGCCTTTTCCTGTAATGCCACTTTCTCTTAACAGCCCTCAAGTGTGTGTAGAGAAGAGGCTCATCTTGAGCTATTCTTTTCCCTTCCTGCTTTTTCCTTATAGTCCCATATTAAACTAAACCAATATAGTCATACAGTACACATCCCAATAACCAGGCCAACATATGGTATTTATAAATTATTAAAGAGCGGCTCCAATTTTATCACAGTTTAATCTTTCAATTGCAGGTCACTGCTTCACATCTTAAGTAGGTAGGTAGTAACCAACAATTGTTATCCTCTGAGTGTTGTTCAGTTGCCAATTGAAATGAATGGGCAATCTCAGTTCATTTCTCGGGAGCAGTTGATTATTATTTTGTATTACATGTAGGAACTAAGTGTCCCAAATCAGGACTGGCATCCTCTTGTGCTACATATCCAGATCACATAAAATCACTCCAAGCTTGGCAGTGATTTAAACCCTTATACACAATCTCAGCAGAAAAACCAAGGATTGAATAGCAATAGAGGCCCCTTGTAGGACACAAGTTTACAATGCTACATGACTAGGGGAAAAAGACACCAATGTAGTTTGGATGTTCCTTCACAAAATTAGCATGTCATTGAGCGGGTAGGTCACAGTCCCTGTCTGTATAGCTCTGGTGAGACAGGATCTGAAATACTGTGTGCGTGTGATAGTGTGCAGCATCATATTACCAGGAAGAAGTTTATAAACTGGAAGAAGCTTAGAAAAGAGCAACTGGGAACTGAAGGAACTGACATGTAGAAAGATTAAAAGGAGACATATATGTACATTTCCCACAAAATCATGCTCCTGCCTTGACAGTTACCTCCTTCAAATATTTGTAGATTGTTATGAGCTCCATTAGGCTAATTGCTTAACAGTGACTAAAGGGGTACATGATAGGGGTACACAATACTACAAATATTTGAAGAATGTAAATACCAAGAAGGGAGAATTATTTTGTGTGAAACGAAGATGTATTTCAGGAAAAACTTCCTGATAATGAGAGAGTCTTCCAAGAGAATTGGCAGAGGCCTCAGTGCTTAGAACTTTTAAAACTAGACCGCACAGGACACTGTACAGTGTACAGTAGGGGAGCAATTGTGCAGTGGCATGGAGATGGAGTGAATGATCCAATAGGTCTTTTCTATCTCTATCTTTTATGATTCAGTACCCTAACTGCCAAAATAAGACAGCCTTCCATTGGAGTAAGGAGTTAAAAGGAAAGAACAAAGGGGCTAAGGTAGCATCTACCACATTCACAGATTGTTCTTTCAAGATGACTGGTTTTATTGTATTCATAAAGGTTGATATCTGAAGCACAAGACAAACAACAGAGTTACAATCAAAGCTATAGTGTGGTACTACTCAGATATCATCTTTAATATGCATGGGGATATGAATTCAAACTCATGCTGCCTTGAGCCTGTTATTGCTTTACTGATAACAACAAGACTGCAAATAATAATTAGAGTTTGAGGAAATGGAGTGCCCCCTTTCCATTCAATGTCAGGGTTTTATCAGAACAAATGTGTTTCAGCTGCCTTCACCAAAAGCTTCTACGTCACCAATGCAATCTGAAAGGCTAACAGCAGATTCCCAGCACAAGATAGAGCCTCAAAAAGCATCTTTTCTTCGCCTGATATCACCTAAATACAGTGAAAAGCCAAAAATTATTTTAAGGAAGAAGGGTTGAATTTAAATGAAGAATAAGTTTAGTGCCTGAATGTTCCAAACTTGTATCAGAGGAGGCTTTGAAATCCTCCGGTACTGTTCTCTGGCTTTCTGACATAACTAATAAACCCATCAGCAATCCAAATTTTACCTTGGTGATCACTTCAAAATGAAATGATGTAAGGGTGTTCCTGCTTGGGGAAAAACTGAGTGTCCCTCCACTGCTGTTTTTTTTTTTTTTGGTCAGGTGTCTCTATAGCAGAGAGGGTTAGACACTTGGTTGTGAAGCCACACAGGGCCCTGTGTTCTGGGGGCTCCACACTTTGGACCTCATCCTTGAGATTACAAAACAGTTGAGTTAGCAGACCTGAAATTCCCCTGGGCTCTAAGGCCCAGATTCTCAAAGGTAGTGAGGGAAATCAAGAGCAGTTAGGAGCCTAAATACCTCTGGGCCCCATCTTTGTGAGTGTAACCAGCTACAGGGACAGAGACCCAACCAAAAGGGTTCAGGGGAAGAAGGCTAGAGGCACCCCAAACCACTGCACTATGTCCCCATCCGACGATCAGAACCTCTCTCCCCCGTAAGTCCTCCTGACGCTCGCACTTCTTTCGTTTTTTCTTACAAGTGCCCTGACTTCACGGCTACTGAAGCCCGCCCACCTAATGACAAGTGCGCCCTAGAGGAGGGTACCCGGCGCAGCCAGCTCCCGCACAAGCCGGGTTAGTGAGCAGCCGGGCCCTGCGCTCAGCACAGCACTAGGTGAAGCCTAGGGCAGGGGCTTGCAAAGAGCTGGAGGCGGGCACGTGGGAGCAGCGCGTGGGACCGGAGGGGGGGCAGACAGGCTAGCCAATGAAAGAGCAAACCACGCAGATGCAGCCTCGGGCTGGGAAATGAGCCCACAGAACAGCCCAGCAACCCTCGGAGCTTCCATTCAATCTCCACCCTGCTCCCCACACCTCCGCCTGCCCCCCGGACATGAGCACACCCACCTCCTGGCCCACGCTCATTGGCTCCCCGGAGTCACGTGCCCTTAGCCCAAGGGCAGAGAGACACGTGATGTAGTCTCAACTGGCGCTTTTAGCCTAGTAAGGTGGAGCTGATGACATCATCCTACCGGCGACGCTTTGGGCGGTGCTGAGGGCAGGCAGGGCCAGTGCGGGGGCGGCTGGCTTTCCATACGTCATCTCTATGCACCGGCGGGAGGGTGGCTCATGGGCAGGGTGAGGGGCGCGTGTGGCAGGCGAGCGGCAGGACGGTGGCCGCGCGGGGAGCGCAGGGCTTCGCGGTGTGAGTAGCCCCGAGTGCCCCGTTGTGGAGCCTCGGGCGTGTGTGTCACCGCGCCGCGCAGCGCCGGCTCCGCTCTCCCGGGCTGCTGCGGGTAGCCCCACGCTCCCTGCGGCGACAGGCACTGGCCGGCAGCGTCGTCCCAGCCCTCCCGCCCGAGCCTGGCGCGAGCCGGGTGTAACCGCCCGGGCTGCGGGGTGATAAACGGCCGGCCCCGCCCCCCGCTCTTCCCCCGGGCCGGGCCCGAGCTGCGCCCTCGGCCGGTGGGGCGGTGCGTGCCTGGGTGACAGGCGGGCCCCGGAGCGGCCGTGTCAGCGCAAGGCTGGTGCGGGGCTGGGTGAGCGGGGTGCCGCAGAGCTGCGGAGAGCACGCCCCGCCCCGCCCCCGCTCGGCAGGCTTAGACACCCGTGACTCGGGGGCTGCTCGCTCGGTTGCAGAGGTCAGGGCTGGCTCGAGAGGTTTCGGGCTGGAGCACTGGGGCTGGGGGGGAGATAGCTCAGTGGTTTGCTAAACCCAGGGTTGTGAGTTCAGTCCTTGAGGGGGCCTTTTAGGGGATCTGGGGCAAAAATTGGGGATTGGTCCTGCTTTGAGCAGGGGGTTGGACTAGAGTCCTCCTGAGGTCCCTTCCAACCCTGATAGTCTATGATTCTATGACTGCTACCCCTGCGGGAGGCCGGCATCAAGGGGGCTCGCCTCCCTGCCGTCCGAGGTGCTGCAGTGGGGGGAGGTGGTGACTGGCATTCATGTGACTTGTATCCTGTCTGCTTATTTCAGGCACATCATGTCCAAACTGAGGGTGTCCCGTGTGGGGCTTGGGATACTGCTGGGTGCGGCTGCTGGGATCGGGTTCTTGTTCTTGTACAAACAGAGGCGGAAAAGGCCCTGGTGGGGAGGCAGCTCCAGGCACTCTCTGGTTCAGCTCATGCAGAACTCTGTGGGGCCCCATGAAAATGCAGAGACTCTGGGGCACCATAACCAGGGTACAGTAATTATTTCTGTTTCTACTTCTGTGTTATCTGCAAAATTGGTCTCTGACTGGCAAGGGTGGATTTGTCCTTCATGTCTGAACTTGGGTTCAGTGCTACCACTACTGCTTTTTCTGTTTGTAGCTCAGAAGTGGTTAGTATATAATTGGGATATTGCCATTGTAGGAGGTAAACTGGCCACCTGCTCACCCTAAAGATGATCAGTAGATCAGCTTAAAATAACTGACGTAAATTAAAAATAATCCACTTGTTACTCGAAAAACTAAATGCACACTATCATCAAATTAATACAGTTAATAAAATCTGACTGACTGCTAATAACCTGTTAAAGAATTTTAAAGATCCAAGATAAGCAACCTTCTTCCAGACAGTTGGTAAGTACTGAACAAACCCCAATTTATTTCAGGGAAGAATTAAACAGAATAAAATATTATTAAACATTTTTAAGAACACAAATCCTAAACAAGCAGGATGCAAAACATCACTGTTCAACCATTTTGCAGTGTGTAACATCACATTCTCCAGTCTTTGGCCCTAATTTTGGAGGGAGCTCTGTGTGGTGGACCTCCCAAGCATTGAAGTCAGGGAGGCACATGCAGCCAGTTGCAGGGTCTTGCCCTGAATGATTATCATAATTTAGTTTTCACCATTTATGATGTTTCATTTCTTTTAGGATGCTATTTAGCTTGGATACTAAATAGTAACTTTGCTTTCTTATTTACCCAGTTTCTATTCCCTTTCACTTTTGCAGATATACTAGCGCAAGGCTATTCTGCAGATTTGCAAATCTGTAGTAGGGAAACACCTCAAGTGACAGACCCTTTAAGGTCAGAAGGGACCATCATGATCATCTAGTCTGACCTCCTGCATATTGCATGCCACAAAACTTTACCCACCTCCTGCTGTGATAGACCTGTAACCTCTGGCTGAGTTACTGCTGTCCTCAAATCATGATTTAAAGACTTCAAGTTACAGAGAATCCACCATTTACACTAGTTTAAACAGCAAGTGACCCATGCTGCAGAGGAAGCTGAAAAAGTCCTAAGGTGTCTTCCAGTCTGACCAGGGGGAAAATTCCTTTCTGACCCCAAATACAGTGATCACTTAGACCCTCAGCATGTGGGCAAGACCCTCCAGCCAGACACCTGGAAAAGGTGTAGTCAACTTACCAAAATGACTTTTTTTCATTTAAAAAGTCATTTGCTACATGTGTTATAAATAATACGGAAGACAAAAGAGAGATGTTTTTTCTCTGCTTTTTCTGATTTGTTTCCTTTGCATACAATCAGTGTCATTGTTTTCCCCTATATCATTTGGGGTAGATCCTGCAACTGGCTCCACCTGGATTTGCTCTGGTGTTCATGCAGAGCCACATCAACTTTAATAGAGCTTACTTTACAGGAGCTAGACCAGTGGTTCTCAACCAAGGGGCTGCAAGCCCTTTCAGGGAGGGGCTGAAACCTTGAGCCTCGGCACTCCCCTGCTGTGGGGCTGAAACCCTGAGTCCCTGCGCCCACCCGCAACGGGGCTGAAACCTCAAGCACTGGTTCTCCCCCCACTGCAGTGCCAGAATGGGACAGTTCTAGGGGCAGCTCCACTCCCACCCCTTCCTCCTCTCCCCGGGCCCGAAGCTGGAGTCAGGCAGTGCGGCTTTCACCGAGGCAAGTCATGGAGCAGGCAGCCACAGCATTCTCCCGTCTGCTGCGGGTGCCCGGGGTTGTGACTGCTCCTCAGCTCGTGCAGTCGGTAAGAGCTTCCCAGGCAGGGGGACCCCCCCTCTGTGGCAGAGCCCTTGGGGGAGCAGTGATCACAGGGGAGCCCTTCTGGCACACAGCCCCTAGCTACCCCTTCCCTGCCCATGCACAGCTCCTAGCTACCCTCTCCTTGCACTCTGAGCAGTTGCCAAACTTTTTGAGCAGAGCCCCCACTGCATACAACCCACACAGGCTAAGTGGCCTGCTGAGGTGAGTCAGGGGGTGGAGGTGGCATTGCCTTCCTGGACCCTGCTGTGCGGAACTGGCCGAGGCCCTGCTGGCCTCTGCCTCCCCAAAATAGAAATACTCACTACATCTACGCTTGAGGGCCTGCCCGGAGCCCCGTGTCCCCCATCTCTCCCCAGTTGGGCCCTGGAGTTTTTATAGCATGTTGAGCAGGGCCTCAGGGAAAAAAAAGAAAGGTTGAGAACCCCTGAGCTAGACCATAGTAAGTTTCTAAATGTTTTGTTTGTGGGTGTGCACGTGTGAGAGAGAGAGAGAGTTTTTTATAAGCAAATAAGGGACAAAATATTTTATTTAAAGAGAACCAAAACTCCAGTGTGCTAGGTGCTGTACAAACACAAAATAAAGACAATCTCTACCCCAAAGAGCTTACATCTAACTGATGTTAATTTTCTTTATATTATTTTACTTCTCTTAAAACACTTGTTTAAAAGTTGTGATGTGGACAAGGGCATGGAACTGAATAATTAGATTACAGTAACTAGATTGTGTTCAGCTGCATAAAACTAAGGACAAATGGCCATACTGGGACAGGCTACAATCCACCTAGCACAATATCCTGTCTTCCAACAGTGGCCAATGCCAGATGCTTCCGAGGGAAGGAACGGAACAGGTCATTTATCAAATGATCCATCTCCTTTTGTCCACTCCCAGCTTCTAGCAGTTACAGGCTTAGGGAGCCCCAGGGCATGGGGTTCCATCCCTGACCATCTTGGTTAATAACCATTGATGGAGGTATTCTTCATGAACTTATCTTATTCTTTTCTGAACTCAGTTATAGTTTTGGCCTTCACAACATCCCCTGGCAACAAGTTCCACAGGTTGACTGTGTTTTGTGTGAAGAAGTACGTCCTTTGGTTTGTTTCAAGTTACAACCTACACACTACAGTTACATGAGACAAGTGCACTGAACCACTTTTCTAAGTGGCTTTTTCCCAAGGTCATTCTCTATCAACAGTATTTGAAAGTGCATTATTTCTCTGCAAAGAAATTTCTCTCAGGTCCTTTACTTTTCCTCTTAGTTTTTGCATTGCTTTTCATTAACAAACTTTACTGTGCCATTTACAGGCTAATACAGGTTCTATTATGTGGAGAGTTGTTTTTTGTGGTGTATTTTTAGGGTTTGTTTGAAGTAAAACGTAAAGGGACACTTACAATTTTCTTAAAACTAAGACCAATGAAATTGTAGAAATATTTTTTTACAAACATTAAAAAAATAAATCCAGTTAAAACATTGTAAAAAATTGATATCCCCATGCCTGTCCATGACCAAACTTTTTACAGCTAGGAATTTGAAAATGTAACTTGATTGATAGTAGTTGTCCAAGCTGAAAAATGGAACAAGTTAAACAATGATTCTAAATTGAGTGAAACAAATTGGAGTGTTAAATGTTTCACTTTCAATAAATCATGGTGGTGTTAGTAACATAGATAAAGAAACTTGCTTACACCAGAGGATTTTTTTTTTTCAGTTGTATCCCTCTAAATATATTGAAAGAAGTGTAGTGATTTCAGTGTAGAAAATAAAGGTTAGTTGGAGGACAGAATCTTGTAATTCAGGATATGCAGTACATCAGTTTAACTAGTTTTACGGCATGAGCAGCAAGCTTTCACTCAGTTTGGGTTTTAATTTTTGTATTATACAATATGTTGCTATTACATTTTAAAAAGGGACAGTCAGTCCAAAATTTAATTTATTTTTATTTTTTTGGTTTTGGGCTTGGTGACTTGTTACCAGGGTGCTGGGTGTGCTTTTGGGAAAAAAAATTGCATATCTGCAATAAAAACATTTTCACTGAAATCATAAGAAATTTGATTTTTTTTTTACTTAGCATTCTTCCGCAGTGCTATGTACCATCTCAGCAATGTAAAATTTTGTCTAACCTCGTTTGTTTGTGGTGTTAATGTCCAAATCAACAGAATAAGTAATGAGAAGCAAAATACTTATCATTTTTTATTTTTAATAATCTGAAGGGTTGACAGACTGTTTTATTTAAAAGATTCCTTCCTTCGAAGTCTTTAAGTTATTTTTCTTACTATAGTCATACTTGACTTAAGGTGTGATTATTTGTGTCTTATAAAAATAAATTTCTGGCCTTATGGTAAGAAATAGAGAAATAAGTTTAAAAACGAGACCGTTTGTAGAGAGCTTTGATAATAGTTAAATCGGTGGTCATACCAGCAGTACATGTTGATCATGTTGCAGCTGGAGCAAAGTACAGCATCTTAACAGATAAGCTAAAATATCATAAATATTTAGGGCACAGCAACCATATGTTTGAATTTGCTCATCTGATATTAAGAGTCCATGCCACTTTCTGCAACAGTAGAGATTTTTCCTCATGTCCTTGGCCGGAATTAGTTTGCTTACCTCTGTTCCACTGTTGTACATTATTTTATGAACTAGTTGATCTCCTGGCTGATATTCTGCATTCCAGAGTTGGTTGCATTTCAGAGGTAAAGTGAAGTGTGGCTGTTTAAGACTATTTTAGAGCCATATAAGTAGTAGAATTTCATGTGCTTAATTATGTGTAACTACATAATCATAAGAACAGCCATACTAGGTCAGACCAAAAATCCATCTAGCCCAGTATCCCGACAGTGGCCAATGCCAGGTGCTTCAGAGGGAATGAACAGAACAGGTATTCATCCCCTGTCACCCATTCCCAGTTTCTGGCAAATAGAGGCTAGGGATACAGTCCCTGCCCATCCTGACCAATAGCCATTGATGGAACTTATCCTCCAGGAACTTATCCAGTTCTTTTTTGAACCCTGTTATAGTCTTGGTCTTCATATCTTCTGGCAAAAAGTTCCACAGGTTGACTATGCATTGTGTGAAGAAATACTTCCTTTTCTTTTGTTTTAAACCTACTGCCTATTAATTTCATTTGGTGACCCCTAGTTCTTGCATGATGAGAAGGAGTAAATAGGACTTCTTTATTTACTTTCTCCACACAAGTCATTATTTTATAGACCTCCATCATCTCTTAGTCTTTTCTTGAGTGATAACAACTGATTTAGACCCCATCATTTTATATGTATAGTTGGGATTATGTTTTTCAATATGCATTACTTTGCATTTTTCAGCATTGAATTTCATCTCCCATTTTGTTGCCCAGTCACCCAGTTTTGTGAGATGTCTTTGCAACTCTTCACAATCTGCTTTGGACTTAACTGTCTTGAGTAGTTTTGTATTATCTGCAAATTTTGCCACCTCACTGTTTGCCCATTTTTCAGATCCTTTATGATTATGTTGTTTAGGGATCTGGGGCGAAAATTGGGGATTGGTCCTACTTTGAGCAGGGGGTTGGACTAGATGACCTCCTGAGGTCCCTTCCAACTCTGATACTCTGTGATTCTATGTTGAAGTACTGGTCCCCATTCAGATCCCTAGGGGACACCACTATTTACCTCTCTCCATTCTGAAAACTGACCGTTTATTCCTACCCTTTGTTTCCTATCTTTTAACCAGTTACTGATCCATGAGGGGACCTTCCCTCTTATCCCATGAGCGCTTGCTTTTCTTTAAGAGCCTTTGGGGAGGGATCCTTGTCAAAGGCTTTCTGAAAATCTATATTATATCCACTGGATTACCTTTGTCCACATGCTTGTTGACCCCCCTCAAAGAATTCTAATAGATTGGTGAGGCATGATTTCCCTTTACAAAAATCATGTTGAATCTTCCCAAACAAATCATGTTCATCTATGTGTCTGATCATTCTGTTCTTAACCAGTTTTCCCAATACTGAAGTCAGGTTTACCGGCCTGTGATTGCTGGGATTACCTCTGGAGCCTTTCATAAGAATTGCTGTCACCTTACTCTTAGTGGGAATATAACTTTAAAACCTGCCTGTGACAGACAGATAGTTTTAACCAAGGAAAAGAAAGGGAAGCATGCTTAAAAGTAAGCAACCTCCTCGATTGCCGTGGTCACTGATGTATTCATTTTTATCTGCAGTGCATTATTACATGGTTTTATTCCCCTCTTTGAATGTCCAGAAACAAGCATCTGGCAATGTTTTCCTGTTTCTAATCTTTGTCACTCACCTCTATGTCTAATTAAGTTTTTTCTCACTCTTTTAGTTCTGCTTATAAGACAAGCACCAATGGAGGCTGGTGATGGCATTACATACACCTCTCTTTTAACACGAGAAGAGCACGTGGAAGTGCTGAACCGCCTGGACTTTGTGCTGAAAAACATTATAGAGCTACGAAAAGAAGTGGAGGAACTGAAGAACAGCCTGCAGAGTTTAGCTGGGGAGATCAGTGGAGAAGTCAAGTAAGTACAAAACCACCTTCCTTTTGTCAATCATAGACAATTAGAAAACCATCTCTATATGCCTTGAAAGAGCTCACAGACCAGCAGGTTTTAGGTGAAAACAATCTTGTCCTCTCTGCCTTCTGTAATGAAGAGATCAACCTATGTATCTTTTATAAATGGGAATCAGGACAAGTCTCTCATGCAAAGAGCATATCCACCCTTCATTACAATAAAGCTCTAAAAATGGGCAAGGGTGTAACCTACTGTTTTCTAAAATTTGTCCCATCTTCCCCCACTTAACTCCCCCAAACAGAGAGCCAATGCCAGCCAAGGAAATTTGAAATCCAATGTATGCTCGATATTCTACAATTTGGATAATCTGAGCATGCACAGGCATGTATTTACAATCTCTTTTTGTGTAAATCCCACTAAAGGGTAGGATTATTGAAACTGGAAAGGAGAAGATCCAGAAGGAATTGGCTTTAAGTTGCCAAAATTGTGACAAGAATAGTGAAAACTAATCATTCAGTCCTTTTTGATTTGTTCGTTACACAAGAACAAGGAGATATTCAGTGAAATTAAAAGCCCAGTAAATCTAGAACGAATAAATGGAAATATTTCTCTTACACAGTTTGTTTGTTCACTAGAGGTGAAATTCTGGCCCTACTGAAGTCAAAACTCCCTTTGACTTCACTGGGGTCAGTATTTCACCCTAGATGTTTTCTTACTCAAAGGTCAGTGGAACAGTTACTCTGGATTCTTAAGCCTGTAACTTTATGACAATCAATACTTATAGTTGTATAAAACAATGACAGTATGAGAAGTCATATCTATGCTTCAGGATGTCTGATCATCTCCCTATTTCAGGAACTAAGTTTTCTTGTCATGTACAACACTGTACATAAGACTAGGTGCATTGTGGGTGTTTTCCTTCCTCTAAGCATTGGGTGCTCTCAGCCATCTTAGACAGATGCTGAACCAGATGGACTTGTGGTCTGTAAATTTCTGGCTCTTTTCTTGTCTCTGTAGCAATGTTTGTCCCATTCATATCTACTGTAGATTATGTAGTGAATGGAATATCCTATAAAACATGAGCTCCTCGGGGGCAGGGGCTGTCTTTTTGTTTTGTGTTCATAGAACACCTAGCACAGTGAGGCCCTTGTCTCTGACTAGGGCCTTTAGGCGCTATGATAATATGAATGATAAATAATGTTCCTTCATCTTTCTTCACGGGAAGGATGATTGTATACACTTTCTATTTGCCTGTGGGTTTCTGTTTGATCTCATTTATAGTGTAGCCCACAGTATTTTAAACTTGGTAATTTGTGACTTCACCTACACAAAGCAGGAACAAGTACCATTTTAATTATTGCTCCTTTGGTGTGGAGTGGATGTAATAGATTATGCGGGTAGAAGCAAAGAAATTGACATGGATTGAAATAGACACTTCTCTAGTCATTACTGTGTTTCTGTCTGTCTTTCAGATCCCACCTGGAAGAAACCCAGAAGGTAACTCGGCGGAGGCGGTACCCATTTCCTAGAGAGAGGAGTGATTCCACAGGGTCCAGCTCTATTTATTTCACAGCCAGCTCAAGAGGGGCCAATACAGATGATGGTGAAAGTGAGGGAGGGTAAGCAGAACATCTGTTAAGAACTGTTCTTGGTCTCGGAAACTCAGTAGCCACTTACTTCATTGTATTCTATATCACAGATGGGATGTTTCAATAGATGCATTTTTTTTCCTGCTCTACTTGTATTCAGTTTCATTGCATGAAACCTAGCTGTTGATTTTCTTAAAAAAGCCAGAAGTTTTAGATACTACACCTGCCCCTGAGTCCTCCTACCAAGAATTGTAATTTTGCTACCACATTTTATAATTAAAAAAAAAAAAATAAAAATTATCCCTTCCAGTTCCTGTTTGATCAACAGTCAGGGTGATGTGTGACAGTTTATATGCCATTGCAGGCAAACTGGCAAGGAAATTATGACAGGACTGGAGGGAAATAAGAAATACTCCAGTTGGCTCTAGTTATAATTGTGGAGTATGGTGTTCTTTGAATTGTAATTCAAGAGAGGTGCTCTAGTTAGGGGCAGGCAACTTTCACTGAGAGTTTGAGCAGCAGGGCTCCATCTAACACAAACCTATGAAATCTTCTGTAGTTTGAACCAGAATTGGCAGTTAGGTACAGCTGGAGCAAGAACCCACTATTGAGGGTGAAGCGGAGTTCACTGACTAAAGGGTGATGGGAATAAGCCTTTGGCTGGGCTAGAAGGAGATGGGTGCTATAATTCTAAACGTGACATTCTGGGAGAGATTATGTAAATCTGGTTTACACTAACAAATCATTTGGGGTCAGAATGGCAAAAGAGCAACAGCAACTGTCAGGCCATAAACCAAAATTACTTTTGAAGTAATGTTTTCTAAAAGATCCTGAAATTAAAAGGAAGTTAAACAGAATACAGGACATCTAATTCTAAGACTATGTAAAGCCTCGTTTTGGTAGGATCATGCTTACATGTTTGTCATTTTATTTAGGTTCTTACCACACCTATCCTTGTACTATCTGAGTACCGTAAGTCACCTGATGCTTTATAAGTAGGATGCCTAGTGGGTGCATGTGCCTCTGGTCAAGAGGAGGAAAGTCTTCTCTTTCCTGATTTTTTTTTTTTAAGTCAATAGATTAAGAAGGGCATGAAGCAGATTCCTGAGCATAAAATTCTCTGTCAGTATTTTCTCATGGAAAGGCAAATTAAATGTTTTTTAGACCGAGGGTTCCAAATTACCATGTGTGTTTTCTCAGTGTCACTTGCAGGTCTTAATGAATCTTCAAATAATTTTGCCAGTGCATATAACTAGCATGTTGCCTCTACCTGCTGATAATGGGTAGGTCAACTTGTAAAGTGTGTGTGGCTGCATGGAGGAAGAAAACTGAAAGTTTCTATCTCTTTGTACAGTGTTTGTCTTCAGCTGATGGTAAAACTCTTCCAGATTCCCATATTTTGTGAGATCTTCCTTAGAGGAGGAATTTGAGCTGATCTCATTGTCATTTTTTAACCCCTTGCAAATGGTATATGATAACTAATGTGCTTCAAAGTGACTAAAGAATAGTTCCACAATAATTCTGCTTTATAAAAGGAAAAAAGGCAATTCTTGACCTAGCAGGATGTTGTTTACAGCATCTTGGAATTTGGAATATGCTTTCTTGGGATTCCCATGCTTATTCTACAGAGGTATAAGATTTGTCTGGGTTCTTTGGCTTTGACAAAACAGAAAACGTTACTCCTAAGAGACATTGAGGAAAGTATTAAAATAACAAAGCAAGAAAAGCTGTCTGAAGAGAACAGAGAATCATTTGTAGGACATGGAAATGACGGAGATGTTTCCAGCTGCAGATATATTGAGAGCATTTTACAGCTTGTTCTCTCAATCTTGTTTTGATGAAGATGGTATTCCTTTCAGATAAAATATGTAAGCTTATAGTTGATTCAGAGAAACTTTTTTTTACTTGTACAGGCTATTCAGGGTGATTAAAATCCAGTTATAAATATTTCCACAGGTTTGATCATCCTTCTAGTAAAGTCACTTTTAATTACGCTCTGCAAAAGACAGATTTGGAACAATCTCAATTTAAGGATGGCAATTGTTCACTGTTGTAACACCATCTGCACCATGGTGCTAATTACTGAACAATCTTTTTGATCACTTTTGACTGTAGCCTATTGATTAATAGTTTGGGAGGGAAGGTTTTAAATTAATCTTTTATGTGCTCACTCACCTTGATTGACACAGCACAGTTGGTTATAACTGAATTGCTGTCTCCAAGTGAAATGCCCTGTTTTTTCTTTAATACTGACAGCTAAGAGGTTTTACTGAACAGCTTGCATATGTTGTTTAATGGGTTTTGTAGAGTGATTTGTAACTTTTTGAAACAAGTAAGGTATGTCTGTTTTTTCTGAAGTGAAAGGTCAGTAAGCCCCAATTTTGTGTGGCTAATTCCTGTTAGTTGTAGGCTAAGTACTGGATCCTAACTGCAAGAGAAATGTAATTATGTTTGTTTTGTGTGAGAATGACATTATGGAATATAAGGGGACAGGTTAAAAAAAATCCTTATTATACAAATAATATTTTAATATAATTATTGCACCAGTTATGCTCATCACTTCTTATATTTTTCTTGGTGTTGGTCGATGACGAGACTAGTCAGTTTCATTTTAGTCTACTTCACTTGGAGAATTTCAAGGGGTTTGTTTGCAGGACAATGTGTAGACACTTATCTGCACTCACAGCTTGCATTGTTGGTAGCATACTGGTAGACCATGTCACTTAACCATCCGCTCTACCAGCACAGAGAAATATTCACAGACTTTCTCACTGTAAAGAGATCTGTACAGTCTGTAGTCTACCTTGCAAAGGTGTATTTAAAAGTTAAAGAATGCTTCTATTTAATTAAAAATGGAAATATTAACTCAGTTTGTTTTAACAAAAGTCTTCAAGTTTTATAAAAGCTAAACTTTGGGCCAGATTTGACCTAACAGCATTTTTCTGAAGCTGACCTAAACAGATAGTATTTTTTAAGATTTCAGGTTAATAAAGTGTAGAGACTTAAAATTACAACTTTAAAACAAAAGTGTCTGTCTCATCCATTTATGAACAAGAATATGAAAAGGTGCCTGCTCCTCCTGAAATCATTGACTTAAAGGGGAGTAGTAATATTTACACAGGAAGAAAACCAACATCCACCATCTTACCTACCAAAGTATTTTCAAAAGGCTTTGTTTGACTGTCAGACATGTCAGGTATTCCTTTATATGGATATTCTACTCCCCTTCCATTACTACCCTATTAATTTATAACCATATGGGTCCACATTTGCCCTAAAAGTCCATGATTCTTCTAGAACAAAATTGAGTGTCATACCTATTTTTTGCTTAGCAGTTAAGAGCTAAATTCAGGGCCCTGCAATATTTCTCTGTAATAGCTGGGAGTACCTACAGCAGGATAGAGTATTCATTTCTCTCTTTATTTTGTGTGAAGGATCTTCAACTATCACAGGAGAAAATCAACCCTAAATCTGGATCTTGGAGTGCTAAAAGCCTTTCAGTTCATCTCATAAAATAGTAGTTAGAACAAGGCATTGACAAGACGGATTACACAATCACTTCATTCACCTGGAAATAGTTTGAAGACATTAAAAACATTTGGCTAATGGGGGAGTTACTGAGTAACTGATTCATGGAGGGTCAAAACTGAGATTCTGGTAGGAGGAAGGTTTAGTTTAAAGTAATTTGGCTAAACAAGACTTTACTCTGTGTAACTGGTTCTGAAAAAGTCCTTGTGTTAAAGAAGTTCTGTATGTAATAACAAATGTACTAAATCTTCATTGTCACAAGTTACTATACTGACATCTTTTAGAAGATGTAAATGTCAATTCCAGAACCCAACGGGCACAGTGGATAATAGATTTTTTTTGAGATGTTGGTCTAGTGCTACTAAAGAGGCATTAACTAATAAAGATAATTGCAATGGATTAAAAGGTAGTGCTCCTACTATTTACAGGTTGCAGAAAAGAGATCCTCTGTTAGAGGAAACAGCTTAATGTCATTGAGCTGCCTCAGCCAGCAGTATTCTGTTACCCTGAGATAGGGCAGTACAGACTTGTTGCAGGGCTGTTGGGCTTACTCCTGACTGTCTTTCATGGTGGCTTTTAAATTACTAATAAGTGTTCAGTTGAACCTTCTTGATGATTGACTGTAGTACTGAACTAATAACAAATGCCTGCAGGTGGGTAAAATCTTTGTAGAACATATCTAACAGAGGAAGACTAGTGAAAGGATAAGTGTCACGATAAGACTTTTAAACTTGAGAATCACCATAGCAAGTTAAATCCTTTTAACTTGGCTAACCTACTTTCTCAATTAATACAAATGAGGAAAAAGCTTGGAGATAAAGTTCCATAGTGAAGGTTGCAACCAGCTTTCCATTATAAACTTGCTTTGTTTCTCTCCTTTCTTTTTAAAATCCAAAATCTATAGTTTAGATGTGAGTCAGGGAATGACTTTAACGTGACACCTTAAAAATGGGTGTTCAGGAGAGTTCAGAAAGTTGAGACTTTTTGCCATTTTTAGAACAGGTAATAAATTAAAATATAGTTTACTGGATCCCCTAGCTGAGAATTAGCTCCCAAGACCAAAACACATATTTGATTACAAATGTAAAGCTATTTGACTTTAATGTCATTATGAAATGTATGTTTTAGCATGCTTGATATAAGATATCAAAGGGATGCTGAGAAAGTAAATTTCAAGCTTTTTTTCCAACAGAGTTCAAAATGTCTCTCGATTATTAGAGAGTAGAGAGAATTTTTCAGCCAAAAAGCTTATGAGAGAGGACTGCGAGCCTCCAAAGACTTAGCTGTGATTCTCCTCTGCAGCAGCCCTTAAGAGGGCCACCAAGTGGGGAGAGGCCCCTCTGATCTCCAATATTGCTAACACTTGTGATTTAATTGTGAGTCTTGTGTTTAATAGGTGTTTTTCTTAATTCCCCAGCTCCTGAAATCATGTTATGATAATCACAGCTTTTGTTTAACCTCTCTACCTAAGTTTCTAGCCCTCATGGTTGCAGAGAGAAGTTTGAAAATGTGAAGCTCAGAGCAGATTTTTTTAATTAAATTTGACTGTTAAGCTTGCCTCATGATTTTGGGGAGCATGACTCTTGGCATTGGCAATACTGTATCTTCACATTGCCAACTGTCAGCTATCATCCAGTTCCCACTTGCTGTGTCCCTTCTGACATTTGTGGGAAGGGAGCCCTGCTCCTGCAGACTCTAGCAGATATGCCAGTGGGAGAGGGGTGGGGCTGGAAGGAGAGCAGGGACTTTGTGTGGGAGGGTAAGAAATTGGGGCATTCTCTATATTCACATTTGCACTCCCTCCCTGTGAACCAGTTGTAAGGATTTAGAAGTCGGCTTCTGTGTTTCATTGCTTCTTTGCAATTCTTTGGTTTGTTTAAAATATATTTAAACAGTTCAGACCAGTAGCAGGTCAGTAATTTAAAACTTTGCAGACAGCTTTAAGAGTCACTGTGATGAATTAGTGGATAAGCAATCCTGGCCTAATGTAAAACAAGTTTGTGGTACTAAACTGAAGATTTCACGTTACTTATGCCTCCAGTATTAATCCTATGTAGCTGTGTATGGTAGCCACTCTGGAACTGACTTGTAACTTTCTCAATTAGCACAGATTATCCTCGGATTCCTGCAATACATTTTTTTTTTTTTGGGCAGTTGCTTTCTTTTGCCCTTTGGTGAAATCTTATAAAACTTCTGCTGCTGCTACTTATAATCCAAACAGGCATCAGTAGCGCCTCATGTTTCACTTTCAGATGACCCAAATTGTTTCATGCTATCAGCAGCAAGAAGTCTTGGATTGTGGTGTGGAAGTTAATTGTCTTGCATTGTTTGGCACTGTGGGGGCAGACAAGCCCACTGGGGCCTTTTTCTTTTTTTCACATGCTTATTAGCACCAAATAGCTTGTTGTTAATTTAGGAAATGTGCCACGTAGGGACTTTCACATATTAATGCATTTAAGAACTGCCTGTCTTCCTAAAGTTGAGAAAAACAGGATAAAAACACTTAAATCCCTTGGTCTTTTTGAATACTTTTGTTTTTATTGAATTATATTCAGCACGATTTCTTTTTTAAACTGGAAGCATCTCATACATGAGCCATCTCAGTAGAGCGAGTCTATCTGGGTGAGAGGAAAATGTATACATCACGAGCCATCACTGAATAGTAATTATCTTTTTTCTAAAAACAAGAAGAAAGATTGACACAGCATTTTGAAATGATTTTTAGATCTTGTACTTTTGATTGTGCTTCAGGATAAAAAGTCTTTTTCAGCCTAGATTCACAAATCATTCTAAGCACCTTTAAAATGCTGCCAGTCTGGAATGTGGCATGGCAGCTGTTTATCTGCTGACACCCACGCTGCACAGCTGTGTAGGACAGGAAATGAAGAGTAGCACACTGAATTGGAACTGCAGCATGAATTAAGGGAGACTGAGCAGTTACATTCTAACAGGATTTGATTAGGGAACCAAGTTTGTATCGTTGTTCTTATGAAAGTGCCACAAGATGTTTAATAACAAGTGGTCAGTACCTTAGGTTTTACAACTTGCATAAAATATGGCAACACCTCTAGTACAGCATGTCCTTCACCATACTGATTCATTGCTTCACTATGGATTCAGAGGGAAGAATATCTACTGAATCTGCAACATAATGATTAAGTGTTCTTAGAGGCTTCTCCTCCACATAATGACCAGACAACACTGCTTAGCCTGAGATTTGGTTTGATTACCTGGTAGTGTACAGTTCATGATGATCTAGAGAGAGTGATGGGGCTGGTGTGGTGTCTACCCTCTGAGTTGACAGTATTTGTTGGCTCTCTACCAAGGAGAGAGTGAGTTCAGGGATCCAACTGTACTGCTCATGACTCCTGAAGAAACAGTACTTTGGTAGCCATCTTTTCATCTGTGTTTGGCAAAATTGCGATCCACATTTCTTTTAGACGTGTACCTTGGCACATGCCTTCTGTCTCTAGATTTGATAACTGTAATGTTCCCTGTTAGAGGCTGTCTTTGGAGAATACTTGGACATTTCAGCTGTTGCAAAATGTGATGGTCTGATTGCTTAACATAGCTGACCGTAGGTAAAGCTATGATTTAGCCATGCGTATTTTTAGTAAAAGTCATGGACAGGTCACAGGCAGTAAACAAATATTCATGGCCTGTGACCTGTTGATGACTTTTACTATATACTTTTACTATAAAACTTGAGCGGGGGGCTGCGGGTGCTCTGGGGGGGGCAGTCTGAGGGCACCATGGGTGCTGGGGGAGGTGGCCTGGGACCCCCGTTGGTGCTGGGGAAAGTTGGTGGAGCTGTTAAGGGCTCCCTATCCAGTTCCGCGTGTTCCTGCAGCTCCTAGGCGGCAGAGGAGCCAGGGGGCTCTGCGTGCTGCTCCCGCCACAAGCACTGGCTGCACAGCTCCTATTAGCTGGGAACTGTAGCCAGTGGGAGCTGCGGGGGCAGGGCCTGCAGGTATGGGCAGCATGCAGGAGCCCCCTGGCCCCTCTGCCTAAGAGCAGCCTTGCTATGCCAGTGGGAGTCAGGGAGCCCCCCCATCCTGAGTAAAGCACCCGCATCCTCCTGAGCTGAGCCCCCTCCCACACACCTAAACTGCTGCTCCTGGCCCAGGGGCTGCCCGTCTCGACCTCCATGACAGACTTGCAGCCTTAACCAGAGGCAGCACATTATGCTAGTGTCCCATAGGCTACAATGGTTTCCTACTTGCTTCTGGTGCAAATTCATGCATTGAGCTTTTAAAGTTACACATAGTTTGGGTCTTAGTTACATCTGGTTAATCTTCCTTTTCATTGCTGTAATAGTTGCAGTCAGGGTCTGTAGTTAAATGTCATGGGGGCTCATGGCAGGCTGCTTGCAGCAGAGGGCCCTCTCCTTTGGACTAATGAGTGAAACAAGTTTCGACAAAGCCTGAAATTAAAACTGAACGTTCTTAAACAATGAGGGCTAACGTAGTGCTTCCTCCTTCGTGAAGAGCTCCTTTGAGAGTTAGAGAAGGGACACCTTAGGCTAAGCATTTTTTTAAAAGGGAAGGTTATAAATTTAAGCTTCAGAACGCATACTTTAATAAGTGACCTGACTTCAATGAGAGCTGCTGGGTATTTAGCACTTTTTTTTTTTTTTTTTTAAATCAGGCCACCTATTTAGATGCCTGAACATAATTTTGGGAATTTAACTTTAGACAGTCCCTTATGGAAAATCTTGGTCTGAGTCATACCCTGTCTAATCTGGACCACTTCAATTGTTAATCATTGTCTGCTTTTACATAGATATCATGTCTTTACATGGCTCAGCTGCTAGTCCTTAATTTGTCTTTTTGTACATGTGCAATAATTTTGATCACTCACCCACCGTTTTCACACCTTTTCCCCCGTCAGCTTGAACAAGCTGTTTCATATTTAGTGCTCAGACAGTCTTGATCAAAATACTAATCTTGCCAAGAAAGTTGTTTGAAATTCTCTGGAACAGACCAAAAACCTCAAGCTGTATCTCCCACCCAGATAAGTCTGTTAAACTTCCTACTGAGGTATCTGATGTATAATCTGTGAGTTCCCAAGTGACTTGCCTTGCTGGTTCTGTTCTGTGTATGCTTTTGTAGGCTTTAAAGCTAAATGGTCTAAAAAAGCTCTCTCACGAGGCAAGCGGCTGTAGACTCCTGTGTCTTGACTTCCACACTAGCTTCCTTTTGAATTTATTTTCTTCACCCCTTTTGTATTTGTCTGTACTACATGGGACTTGGTGAAAGATGCATAACTGCAGAGATTTAAAACTGCAGAGAATTTAAAATTCTGGAGAATACAGTGTAGAGAAAACACAGTGTAGAGAAAACACTTCTGCACCAGAGAAGGTTGGGCCTAGGACATCTATTAGTCCAACTCCCATCTCTCTGATTTTTTTTAAATATTTTCTCTTGGTTTATAAACTGTTTGCCGTTCATCTTGTATTGAGTACATGTAATGTCACTTAATTCTATATTTTAATTTTTACTGAAAGGTACACCACAGCCAATGCAGAGTCTGATTATGACCGGGAGTCAGAGAGAGAGAGTGAGGAAGGAGAAGATGAAGTGAGCTGTGAGACAGTGAAGATTGCACGGAGGGATTCACTGGACCTAGTCAATGAGGATGAAACTGTTTTGGTCTTTGACTCTACAATGGAGGAAGAATTTGGTCAACTGCTGCAGCAAGCTGACCAGCTGCATAGTGGAAATAACCAGGAGAAGAGGGAAGGATTCCAGCTGCTGCATAATAATAAACTGGTGGTAAAGTTCATTTTAATTTCCCAGCAAAATTGTGTGTTCCACTAACAGGGAAAGATGAAGTTGGGCTTTTAGTTGTCATTGTGCGAGACCTAGTCCGTGCTACAAATGTAATGGAGTCAATGGACCTGGTCATAATATGGCTTAGAAGTGTAGTGTAGATGATACCTAACAAAACTAAAACCCTGACAGTCCAAGGACTTGGCTTTCTTAAATGTACCATCTTGCATCCTGTCTATAGTACAAATCTAAACAGTGTTGTAATTGGGTCCCTTGACTCAGTTATAGAGTTCAAGGACTGTATAGTCAGTACAGGAAATTACATAGCTTTTTTTTACATAGGTGCCTGTTTAAAAAGCAAAACAATTTGGCTGTTGTATCTTCAACATTAAAATAAAAAATGATGTAGAGGCGAGAGATAACAAATGACTTAATCAACATTAAGCATAAGTAAAGTTTCTTTGTAAGCCCCAAAAGGGATCATGCCATGAATTTATTTAATGCTCCAATATATCCCTTTTCTTAAATGTTTCTCCTACTTATTAATAGTCTAAGATAATACCAAAGTAAGCCAACTTAAATGGATATTGTCAAGTAGCTTAGGCTTAAAACTTGTACTTTTTAAAAAAGGATTTAACAAAACCTAGTATGAAGAGTTGGGTTTTTTAATATGTCACTGAAAATACATTGGTTTCTGTTTTTAACTGAACTTTGCCACTGCAGTTTTGGCAATCCAGCCACAACAGCCTCATGGCTGTTTTGTGTAAACCAGAATATGAAACTGTCCAATCTTCCTATGTCCAAGCTGACTGAAATGCAAAAAGTGAGCAGACAGCATAAATAAGTAAACTGAACTTTTTAAAACTTGTGATTTTTCTCTTGCTTTTTGAGATGGAGTCAGACAAGTGGATGTGTGGCTCCAGTGCTCATCCCCTCATCCGAACTAAAACTTCTTTGAAGGAGGGTGGGAGAGAATCCATTTACGGTGATGTGATAAATTAGACCTCTTCTGATCTCCTTTGAATTGTGGGTTTAGTTGCAAATTTGGACGTTCATTTTACTCTTTTTGTACTTCTGCTGGAATTCTTGTTGGTTTGGGTCTATTAAAGTTTTTTTCAAAGTGTTTTTGCATATGTTTACTCTGTGTAGCTAGATATATAAAAGATGCATCCACTTGTTTGAATAAAATAACATACTGCCTGTTACTGCTGCCACTTGACGGTCCTCTTCCTTATATCTTTGTACCAGTGGAAGAAAGGGGCTCTCTAACAGGTGATCTGAAATACTTATGTTCTGTCTGCAGTATGGAGACCGACAGGATTTTCTATGGCGCCTGGCTCGAGCATACAGTGATCTGTATGAAATCACAGAGGATGCAGACGAAAAGAAATCATATGCTTCTGATGGTAAGAAAAAGTGTTTGTGAGGCAGCTCAGTGTAGGGTTTTTATTGGATAAACTTTTTTTTTACTGTATCTTGTTTAAAAGACCTTATGTTACTAATGCAAATTTTAAAAATTGTTTTCTTGTTTTGTTTACTTGATCAGTTTCACTACTTCTCATTCACTAGTTCAGATGCGGTTTGTTTTGGGTTTTTAACATTATACAGGACTTGAAATAAAACCAGGAGATTTTAATTAACACTTCTGCTCCTATCAACTTTAGGAAATCACCTCCCCTTTTTAATTTAACCTGAACTTTAAGCCTGAATTGCCTGAGTAGTCCCTTTCAGCAATGTATAGCAGTCATTTAAGACAATCATTTTCAGTCTCTTTTAATGTATATAGTCCTTTCTGATGGCTTGCAAAATTCCCACATTTTTGGGAACACAAACACATGGAGCAGAGAGAGAAGAGAGCTCCATGAAATTGTGTGAGTGTGTGAGAGAGAGAAAGAGAGCTCTGTGTGGTGGTAGGTGCGCCGTATCACTGAAAGATACTTAGCTGGTAGTGAGTGGAAGAGCAACTATCTCAACAGACAGTGGTGTAAGCACCAAAGCACCCTTGAGGCCTGTTGCACTTTCTTTTTTGCTCTCTGCTTTTTTCTCTCTCAGCCACCTCTTTTCAGCCTCTTTGACTCCCTGGTACAGTGCAGCCAGCCATTGTAGCCTGTTGCTAGCTGCAACCTCTCAGCTTGCAGTGTCGATGCTGAAAGTGTCCTTGAACCTGATCTTAGGTCAGCCCAGCGGCCTTGGAGCATCTGAGTTCTCCATACAGGAGATCTTTTGGAATGTGTCCATAGTCTCAAGCTAAATTTACTAGGTGACTAACAAATGTTTAACTTCTTTACCCTTTCCTGTCACTGTAGAGACCCTAGCACTTTGGGAGGTACGTATTCAGAGAAATTCAGTGACTTTCACGCTTTCTAAATTAGTGCTTTCTGTCTGCAGGGAAAGAAGAGGCAGAGGCAGCCCTACAGAAAGGGGATCAAAGTGCTGAGGGTCACCAGTGGTATGTAACTTTCTGCTGTGTGGGAGAACAAGGGAGGTTAAAGGTCATATTAAGAGTTGGGCTTTATCACAGTCTATTCAATAGACAAGTTTGTTTCTTACCTTAAATATACATTATTGAATCTGCTTTTCCTAACAGACTTTATTTTAGTTTCTTTTCCTTGTTAGTAGGCATGAATAAGCGACAGACAATACTGGTTACAATTAGCAAGATAAATTTTGTTTTTATTTGGTTCATGACAACTAATTAGGAACTTGGTTCCGAGGGGAGATGGCCTGGTGGAGTTCTTGAACAGAAGATGGAGGCAGCTATAATAATGTGTGTTCTTTAGTTTCTGAGAAACTGATTGTATCAAGTTCTTATGAGTCTGCATCTCATAGCTTAATGAGCTTCATCAAGGATGGTAAAAGATCAGCTTATAGATGAGTCTTGCAGAAAGGGGCTTCTAGGAAAAAGAAATTGAGATGCAGAGTTCAGTGTGCTCGGGAAGTTTTTAAGCATTTTAAATTTGGAGACTAAAACTGTGTTTTAAAAGGATTCCCTTTGAGTTATTAAACTGATCTCTGGAAATCCTAATTATATCTTCAAAAAAAGAAAAGGAGGACTTGTGGCACCTTAGAGACTAAAATTTATTTGAGCATAAGCTTTCGTGAGCTACAGCTCACTTCATCGGATGCATGCAGTGGAAAACAGTGGGGAGATTTTATATACACAGAGAACATGAAACAATGGGTGTTACCATACCCACTGTAACTAGAGTGATCAGGTAAGGTGAGCTATTACCAGCAGGAGAGAAAAAAAACAAAAATATCTTTTGTAGTGATAATCAAGGTGGGCCATTTCCAGCAGTTGACAAGAACGTGTGAGGAACAGTATGGGGGGGAGGGAATAATTGGCTGCTACTCTGAAACCTATAATTATATCTTGTAACTGTGTGTGTTGTGAGAACATGAGTGTGAAATGGAGGAAAGTTTGTTCCAGCATTAAGAGGTTTTTTCTTAGTTCAGCTGGAGTTTTTCTTTTCAAATGACAAGAAAACAAGGAATTTGTAAACTGCTCTGCCAAAACAAATATTATATTCTATTAATGGAGTAATTGTTCTTGCTGTATCTGATGTCTCCTGTGGCCAGTGAGACATGTTGTTGTGGTTGGTGATCTCACACACTCTGGGTCATAGTCCCACAAGCAATTCTTTCAGTTAATAACTGTGAATGATGTTCATGTAGGAAGGATGATCCAGTGGTTAGTACATTAGTCTGAGATTTGGGAGTTCTGGTTGAATTCCCTGCTTTCCCCAAGGTCACACAAGAAGTCTGTGGCAGGTCATTTCTGTCTCTCTGTGCCTTAGTTCTCCAACTTTTAAGTGGGGATAATGGTACTCCCCTATCTTACAGAGATATTGTAAGGATAAGTACATTAAGGATTGCTCAGATACTGTGGTAAACGGGGCTGGATAGAAGTAGCTAGAAGAGACCTCATGAAAGATCTTGGCTCAGAAATGAGCTGAACTTTATTGATGATCCTTTTGGTTCTGTGTGCCCTGGGAAAACGACTGCTTATGTATCCTGCTGTTATGTGCTGGAAATTAATCTGGTAGGTGAGGGTTAGGAAGCCCATTTCACACAGCTCATTTATAGAAAATTGTAATTCCTTTGTTCAAGAACTGGAACTGGGGTGGCCTCTCTTATTTTCTTGCTCATCTGCTCTGTTTCTGTTGGCCCCTCTTTAGTCCCCTACAGAGCAACCTCTTATGTCTATTGAAAGCCAGATTAACAGCCAGCTGCACAAGCTATGGGAGCAGTAACTTGAGAGCTAGATGGTTAATGATGACCTGACATTCTTCCTTCTTCCTTTCTTGTTTTACTAGGGTTAGTTGCTTTTCTTATTTTCTTTTCTTATTGACCTTTCAAAAGCTTACATAGTGCCAAGTAAAGTAGAAACTCTATTTTAAGAAAGGCTAACCCCTTGGCTCTAGGGTTTGGAGAGAAAGCGTCCATATTTTTGGGATGGAGGGAATATGGGAGAGATTTGACCGCTGCGGTTGTTACTGAGGTATTGGGCAATTTATTTCTTATGTCTTCAGAACAAGATGTCCCTTGCAACATGAGACTTCCATAATTCTGAAATCTGTCATCTGGGCTTGAAATGTATAGATTATTGCAGTTTGTTCGTGGTTAAAAGGAAAAGAATTTCTAGTTACTCTATATGGCAGGTTCTCCTTGGCCGTATCCAGAGGAGGGCTAAGATAGTGGCTGTCTCTCTGTAGTGGAGGGTAAGCATTCTGCTGCCATTACAATTTTGCTTTAAACTGATGGCTGTGATTAACTATATGTAAACGTTATCTAAACAGCTTACATTGTATGTCACAACTATACTCCTACAAAATAAAGGGTTTTGCCTTCAAAAAACAGGAAATGCTAAATTAACATTGAACATGCAATCTTAAATTGGTGCATTAAGTATTTATTTTACAGTAGACTAAGTTGTCGTCACATGCTATTTCCTCAAACAATACAACTCTTTCTTCAGCTTCTCATACTTACATATAACTAAGATAACTTGATCACAGCAGATTATTATCTTGAAATCTAGTTAATTTCAAAAATACATTAAGTTTTTTTGGGTACTTTACCTGGCCCTGAGTTGCCCTCTCAGTTTAAGTGGTATTCACTAAACTTTTTCCACTTTCTTTACTTAGTTGCTATGTGAAAGACCTATGTACATGGAAAAACTTCTTATCTACAAGGGAAACCGTAAAACTGACTACATTGTTATACAATTTTTTTCTCATCTTGATCTTGTTCATTTTTAGTTTTATCATGGCCATTGCTAGAGGTTTGCAAAAGCCTTGGCTTTTTGTATTTGTGAGGTGTCTTAATCTAGGTAACCTTTTTTACAGGGTCTTCCAGAGAAACCAGTGCCATGCCAGAAGACAATCTTCCGATCCTATGCTCTTCTCATTTGGTTCAGTTATTTTACATAACTGAATGGCTCTGAAATAACTCTAACCAGCATAAGTAGTAGTATTGGCATACAGCTTCCACATAGGCAAAGTTTTTATTTTCCTTCGTGATTTAAACTAAAATGATCTGTAATAAATACCTTTTGTTTTTTCATTGCTAATTTTGAACAAGTGTTGTGGCTGGCTAGAAGTGAGGAGTTTCTCATTTTCCCTACCATTCTCAGTGGCTTGAGTATCTACCAGTCTTTTGTAGAAACTTGTGTATGGAGCTGATGATTGTTGATTCTACTGCTATGATTAAACTAAAGCTGTTAATCGTGAGGTAGCCTAGTTTAGTACAAATGTTGGTTATAGAGAGAAGAGAAAATTCCTCTCTATTTTTTGGAGTGAACTGCTTGATAAATTGTGTTGGATTTCTGGCATGACTGATGTCTGATGCATTACTGCTGGCAGGTGGGATTTTGAAGGTGGAATGTTAAACACATTAACAATCAGTGTTAGGATCGCTGGATTGTCAAGGGCATGGAGGTTAAAACTCTTTTAGGGAATAATCTCTCTTCTTTTGTTTTCTGAAGATCTGCTTGGACCATTACTTCACAGGAGAAATACCTTGTAGCCTAGAAGTTGAATTTAAGGTTTGGAGAAAATTCTTTTCATATTAGTAATTAGATGCCTTTGGTCACTAATGTGTTTGTCATGTTGGTGAGAGGCAAAAATAGGGGAAGAAACCAGCATGACTTGATCTCTGTAATGGAATCAGGTGTTTGGCTCTTTCTGCCGGTTTAACTACTGGAATGTTGGTGAACCACCACGTTGCCTGTTAAAGTTTTAAACCGTTTTGGCACTTGTGCTTTGCATATGTGACAGAGTATGATTCTGCTTCTGAGCTAAAGAGTGATGGATTAGCCTAATGATTCAGAGTTTTATTGTGTCAAAAGTAAGTAACTGATCCAAAGAAATGTCAGAGCAGTATTTAATTCTGTAGATGGAATGAAATCTGATTAGCCACAGATTATATGCATGACACTTGTAGTATTATGGTTACATGCTGTCAAAAAAAGGCTGATAGTGCAAGTCACTCCCTCCTCTCATCCCTTCTGAAAGACCTTGATAAGGCCCCTATAGATGCAGAGTGTTCACGTTATGATGGTTCTGTGGTAACATGTTGCTTAATCATTTGTCTCCAGTGCAGTATCCCCTTGTGCTGAAACAGTATTGGCATATGCTAAACGTGTTGTCGTCTGTGCCCATCTCTTCCAAGAACAGCATCATTGGAAAGGTGCACAGGCTTAAATTCTGTCTCTGTAGACTTGCCCTTTTGCTGAGTGGGGGCATGCATTTCTACGTCTTGCTTTTATTTCTTCAGAACAGCTGCAGAAAGGGAAGAAAGAGGACAGCCATAGAAAGGAAATAGCAGAACAGCATGTGGGAGGCATGGGATATGAATAATTACCTTTATTAGTAGAAAGACATAATTACACTTTCATGAATATATAACTGAAATGTTCTCTTTCCAGCGCCATCTGGGTCGTGGGACAGTTGCAAGCTGTTTTAGTCGCAGCCTGTTTTGTTTAGGTTAATTAGCCACCCTGAGAAAAAGCTTCTTATTCACCAAGGAAAAAACAAAGAGGAGTCCTTGTGGCACCTTAGAGACTAACAAATTTATTTGGACATAAGCTTTCGTGGGCTAAAACCCACTTAATCAGATGCATAGAGTGAAAAATACAGTAAGCAGAATATATATCATAGCACATGAAAAGATGTGAGTTGCCTTACCAAGTGGGGGGGTCAGTGCTAACAAGCCAATTCAATTAAGGTGGAAGTGGCCTATTCTCAACAGTTGACAAGAAGGGGTGAATACCAAGGGAGGGAAAATTACTTTTGTAGTGCTAACGAGGCCAATGCAATCAGGGTGGCCCATTTCCAACAGTTGACAAAAAGGTGTGAGTATCAGCAGAGGGAAAATTACTTTTTTGTAATTTGTAAAAACATGTCCGTCGTCGTCGTGTCCCTCCCCCTCCCCCCCCCCCCCAAACTT